TATAATATCTTCCCCTATACTTTCCTTGGCAATATTGTCTGTTAGATCTCAATAATATCATGGAAATCACGGAAAAACGAGCGCTTAAGTATACACTTCTTTCCTTAATTCATTAACGAGGGTCTCGTACTGGCAGACTTAGTGTCTTTAGGTTGTATACGAGGGACTATTAGTCAGCTGCCCACTCGTAATAAGTTCACGTGCTACTTGATGCCAAACAGGCTCAAACGTGTGTGCCACACTCACCGCCATGGCTACTGGTGGCGCTTACTGACACTCCCACGTTTAAAATCACTTATAAACCCAATAAAGTGGCTGGGGGGACAACTGCCGTGGTAGCTCAGTGGTAGAACATCGAACACGTCATTCGAAGGTCGCAGGTTTGAATCCTGCTAATGGCAAGTTATCTATTCACCCACTTTTCTTTCTTCATATTTACAATACAATTCGGTCTAACATCTTCCCCTATACTTTCCTTGGCATTATTGCCTGTTAGATCTCATTGATATCGTGCAAACCACGGAAAAAGTAGCCCTTAAGTGTACACTTTTTTTCTTAATTCATTAACGAGGGTCTCGTACTAGCAGACTTAATGTCATTATTTTGTATACGAGGGACTATTAGTTAGCTGCCCACTCGTAATAGGTTCACGTGTTACGTGATGCCAAACAGGCTCAAAAAAGTGTGCCACACTCGCCGCCATGGCTACTGGTGATGCTGACTGACACTCCCACGTTTAAAATGACATGACGTCTATAGCCCTGAAAAAAACTAAAGCAGCGCCATTCATGTCAATGTGCAGGCTCCTCTCCCCTCGCGTGCATAGCTTTTGTGAAGGTATCGCGAACGCCATATTGTTTGTCCTCTTTCGCGATCGCGCGCGCTTCACGAACAGACGCTACCGGCGTACCCTTTTAGCATACCCGAGGCCACTCGATTAACACATGGCGCAGCAGTGCCCGAGCTGCTCAAGCGTCTGGTACATCCAGTGCGCCCGCGTGCTTCCGCTTTCGTAGTTTCCTGGTGGACACTCTAGAGGAGCTGCTGTGGTTGTTGGGAGAGGAGGTTCAGGTGAAGGGGTGCGGTTGACGCTACCTAATTTTTTCATAGACTTTACTGGCGTCAAGCTGAGAAAACCAAGGTGGGGTGCACACAAGAGAATCAAGTTGGAGTGGAAGTCGAGAGAAGAGCATGCATTCGAAAACATGTAGGATCAGTTAAAACGTACGTAGTACAGAAATGCACAACACTGATAGCGGCAAAAAAAGCTTCACGGTGAAATCACCGAATAAGAAGAACCATTATGCACGCATCAGCAAAACGAATCCACCTGACATCGCCATGGAACCTGCTGAAATCGCTGTCTCTGCCGGTATTCGACAGCTTCTGCGGCACCGTACAGTCGCTACTTACAATAACAACAGTGTGGCAATGAGCAAATTAAAAATAAATGCTAGAAAGAAACGCAAAGCAGTGAACCACGCATACCACCGAATGAAAACTAACTGAGCATCTTCGCGTCAGCTGGTGCTACCGAACAGCAGTGGCACAGCTTTTCCGCTTTGCGACTGCTAGGAGAATATATTCTCGATATCGCATGGCAGGTCGATCAGTAGAAATATGTGAATTTGTAATAAATATTATTGTACCACGAATAATTGTACTATCAACGCATAGGTCAAATGCTGCCGCTTAATTATGTGGAACAAGTCAGTTTCTTGCGATATTAATGGTTCTCTTCACTTTAAGTATTGCGCTTAATAATTATTACCTTTAGCGGAAGACATGGCATTAAAGAGGACAGGGTTTGAAAGGAGGAGCTGTCATTTTTCTTTAGCAACGGCACCGTCGATTTTTTTCGCACCTAGAAGTGACGGCAGGAACTTAGCACTTCCCCGCGCCTGAATAAGCGTGCAAGCACATGAGTAACGTGCCGCATATTACGCGGCATCGAGAATTTACGTACTTTTTCTAACACAGTCTGCGAGATGGCTAGGCTGACCGCGGTAAGGCGATCTAAGCCATATGTTTAGTATGACCATACGACTACGCAAGAAAAAAAGCATGACCAACAGAAAAAAATTGGCAGATCCCACGTACTCGGGAATCGACATTTTGCGAAGCATGTGGAGGGAAGATGACCGTGTTGCAATTTTTTAGTGACAAGTCATGAGATGACGCCAAATATATGTACAAATTTTGCACGCACGCACATATGCTGAAGAGTTGCACATGTTTACGCAAGCAGTTGTTTGCACATGCGCAACGATGTCAACTGGAGCATGCGTGTTAGCAACACCAGAAGCTGATATGAAGCGTTGATACTCGCGAAGAAGGTGGCCCTGGACACTGCTGCAAAAATCAACTTCAGCGCATGGCAACTAACCACAATTGACGTTAACCCGACGTGGCAGCTGTATCAAAGGAGTACATATGTAATATTTATAAAACTGGCTATAGGCAGCACTGCAACCACTACTGACGTTTCACAAAGATTAGTGTCTATTTGAAAAGTAGTTCTGAGACTTGGCGTAGCTCTGTGGTAAAATACTTCATTGCCACGCAGAATTCTTGGGTTAGATTCCAGCTGGGACACTAAAATTTATTCATTGCATTTGTCAGGTCAAGCCTGCCAATGTCGTGTTTTTCGAAAAATTGCGCGTTAAAATTGCCTATGCGTGTTCTCGTCGTTCCTGAGTGAATACGAAGTGTCAGTCGTCTGTGGCACATACCCGCATACCAGTGGCGCATACCAGCCTGTGGGTGTGTGCCACAGTCTGGCGGGACGTGTTTGATGACTTACGTGACAGGATTGTGACGTTGTTCATGTCTTGACCAGCGCGTCATATTCGTCAAACCATTTTACCCTCCCATGCTTATTTTGGTTCACGCCAAGATAAGGTGTTGACCACGAGAGCACTAAAACGTAAGCGGTTAGATAGATACACTCAAGGTCACTGAAGTTTGCTAAGTAATGCTTCGCATTTAAAAACGCCACGCCTGAGCGTAAGGCGCAGCACAGTTACAGCAAAAGCTACAAGAGCGGCCTTTCAGAGCCTTTATTCTAAACACTCATTGAGCAACGACTGCAAGCACGCTTGCTTGATACCCACTACGGCTTTATTATTATAATTTTTGGTAGTAGGCTGGCATTCTCTTTGGTATTTCTTGTCATTCTTATAGGAAGTGTCGTATCTGCTAAAATTTTGCGAGGAATTTCGTGCCTGTTCATGCAGTGGCTGACGACGATGAGAAATAAGGCCTGGAGGGGGTATGCGCCACAGTCAATAGTTGAGCAAGAACAAACATTTGTAATGGGTTACAGCATTGAAAGACCCACTTGTTACGCTATGCGCATTGTGCGACAAGTGGTTGTTATTTCGCAGCTTCAAAACGCTTTACAAGTCGTATTAACGCCATTGCTTTCCCGAATCCAAGCCTGTCTAAGGCAAGTGTGCCAGCAATTCCCTAGCACAGGCGTGGTTCAGTGGTATAATACATGGCTGGCACCCAGTGGACACGTGTTCGATCCACATAGTGTCTGTGTGATTATCGCTACGTTTTCTTTCTTATTTCGGGCGATGTCGTTACGGGCACCCGCAGTGGCTGTGGTGGCGGAAAACTACGGTATCGCGTAACCCGAGTTGTGATTTCGTAACAACTATTGCTGTAAAAAGAAGACACACCAAAAGCAAGCATTCAACTAAATGTGCCCCGGAATGTGCTTACATACCGAGGCACGATACATTATGCATGCGTATGCATGGACGCAAAAGATGAACGCATATCTGCACATGCATGCCCATTAAACATAAGACACGCGTTGGAAGATGTCCCCACCAAGAATACAAGCTCTTTGTCGTTGAGGGCCATGGTATAACACAATTATAGGAAGTAGAGAGAGCGAACGGCGAGAAAAAAATGTGGCGGAGCACTGCACCTACCTTCTCCTACACTGCATCGACACACGCGGGAGCTCGAGCTTCCGCGATGCGAGCGCCCTCAAACGCAGGAATGCACTCTTCCTCTCCACTTCACGCTACTGCGCCCGCTCCACCTGCTCCGGTTGCTAGGGCCGAGAATAAACATACGCGCCCGCAGCTCTTGCTTTGGGAGAGGGAGTGAAAGCGGACTGATAACACCTGCCAGCGCGCGGACACTGCCAACGCCTGACAAACCCGACTAAAAAATTTCTTCGCATTTATAACCTTATAGGTGGTCTTGTTTTTTGAAGGAAACAAAGCGTTAAACACGAAGCAAGCGTGCAATTGGGGATGTACTAATACAATACCGAAAAACACATGAGCGGCGACTAAACGAAGAGGCAGGCACGCTGAGGTACGTGTTTTGAAGAGGGGGAATATAGAGGTTGTCTATATTGCAAGAGATTTATATTTATCACACATCCTGCAGCAATAACGTCAAGGTAACATGTATATTTTATTGCATTACTTGGTCGCTAGCAGAATCGTTAGAAAATGCACATGTGACTGCACATGAAATTGTATGGCGCAGTTAGTAAGCACACAGATCACACAGACGCAAAGAAGAATGGCACAACTAGTGTCAGGTTTAGTGCATATAATTGCTGTGTAATTTAAAGTTCACAAAAGACGGAAAAATGTAAAAAAATGTTAGTAAGACAGCGCTTGCGGTTCACTTTCGTTTGTCGGGTCTCCAGTGAATTCACATATCATAATGTACATAGGAAAACTGGTCCAACTCACAATCCTGTAGTGTACAGGTGCATTTGAGGACAGTACCACGCATGAAGTAACGGGATTTGGGTTATCCGAAGCACAATATCTTCCTTGGTCGAACCGCACAACCTTATAAAACACAAGGTTATCACGGGCGCCATGGTATTGCATGAAGTGATGTAATTTTAACATAACATAATCAAACGTTAACATCCGTCACGTTAGTTTGTTGAACCATCACCTCCATTTCTCAATCACCATTTTCTGTCTGTGCACATAGATCACTCACCATGAAATCCTTCACTTCCAACTTCGGCAATGGCTCTTGTCGAACCACCACTTCCTAATGTCGCCGTACGATGAAAAAGCCCGCTGAAGTTTAACACGGTTGTGCAACCTGGTGCAAAGCTCACAGAGTCCCTCGTCCCACTGAATTATATCATGGCTCTCTTTCCAGGTAAAGTAGGCGGCGTACTCCGTATAATTCTTCGATAACCTTACGAGATATTCCGCAAGATGTTTAGGTGATTGGAAGGAGAGTGCATCAATATACGCATGATGTGGTGCTATTTGACTGTAATTTGCACCTCCGAACACGACTGGCACGATGTCGTACTGAAGGGCAGTGAAAAACTTCTCCGTGACGTAATCTTTGCATATTGAGTTTTCAAAAGCAAGCGCATAAAAGTAAGTGCGCTGGAAGTCTGCGTAGCAGGAATCACCTCTGGACAACGGACACTTGTCGTCACCACAGAAGCCATACACATCAACGTCCATGTACTTCCTGAGTTCCATTACGAACATTTCTCTATTGCTTTCAGTTTGGCAGTTGCTGACTATCCATACAGCGGTTTTATTCTTATGCTTCCAGATGGCCCTCATGTCTCTCGTTGTTGCCGTAGCAGAGGTGGCATTGCGAGGCACAATCCTTCCGTACGGCACGTAAACATCAGAGTCCTTCCTATAAGACATCGTCCAGTTAAATGTGTCGTTCACAAGGTGGAAGTCGTGGAACTTCGTGTTTGGTGGTGCTTCCATCAAGTAGAAGATCCATTTCTGCCAGTCTAGGCGCTGAGTTGGAAAATCCGTGACGTTCATGTCGCGTACGTGAAACAGCACAACATCGCTGTATTCCACCATACGGGGGTCATTCGTAACATGGCACTTGGCTGTACAGTTCTCTACTAGCACTTCACCCACCCTGCTGTCATTGAGCGACCCGTACCACTGGCGAAAATATTTAGTCCACATGATGATCCGTGGGAAGTCTGTCAGCAACTTGGTGCTTTTCGAAACGTTGTGTGAGTGAGTAGGGCACTCAGGATGAGGAAACCCTAAATAGGTCGTCTTCATTACGACGTAAAAACAGATGAATGAAGCTGTCAATCCGATAGTCAAATACGAGCGTTTAATCGGCGTCATGAAGAGTGTCCGCTGAGCTGGCCACTGAAAGGACAATGGAAGGAGGATCTTGTGAGCAGCGAAAAAAAGAATAATGTTTACTTTTCTTATCAGTGCACTCATTCTAAATAAAAAAAGAAAGTAGTGTCATGGATTGTGGTTTTCACAAACATGGCTGATGTAAACCGGTGTTTAAAATATATGGGAACGGACAGCTTTTCCATGCTCTGTGTAATCTGGTACATTGATCAATGTGTTACATGATCACTGTGAGAATTCATGATATGCAAAACACGAATGAGGAAAGATTATATATAACTCTCAAATGAGCACAACTTTACGAGGCGGACGTAAATTATGCCGTGCATGACTTTGATGTCATGATTATCATGTTTGAATGTGTCATTCACCTTTGTCGTTCATTCACGTCACGTAATACCAAATTTTGTATATGAGGAGATAGCGATATGCCGGCGAGCACGCTATAAGCATAGCATATAGTCAAGTTTTACATGAAACACATCCCTTAATTATCATGTTTGGACGTGTCATTTGCCTTCGTCGTCTATTCACGTCACGTGATACCAAACTTGGTATATGTGAAGCTAGCGAAACAGCTGAAAGTACGCTATGAGCGTAGCATGTATTAATGTTTTACATGAGACGCATGCCACGACTATCACGTTTGGATGTGTAATTTATCTTTGCCATCTTTCACGTCACGCAATACCAGATATATATATGGCATATGTGATCTGGCCAAAAAGCCGTGAGCGCATCATGAGCGCGGTATGTTGTCATGTTCTCACGTGGCATTTATGTCATTATTATTATATTTCCACAGATATACCTATGTCCTCCAATGACGTCACGTAACACCTAATCTGTTGCATGTGAAGCTAGCGAAATCACCACAAGCGCATCAAGAGCGTGGCATGTAGCCCCACCGTGGTTGTCTAGTGACTAAAGTACTCGGCTACTGACCCGCAGGTCGTGGGATCGAATACCAGCTGCGGCGGCTGCATTTTTCTTCGAGGCAAAAATGCTGTAGGCCGGTGTGCTCAGATATGACTGCAGGTTAAAGAACCCAAGGTGGTCGAAATTTCCGGAGCCCTTCACTACAGCATCTCTCATAATCATATGGTGGTTTTGAGACGGTAAACCCCACAAATAAATGAATAAATCAAGCATGACATGTAGTCCTGTTCTTGCAGGCGATGCAGCTCATTATTACCTTGCGTGTACCATTCATGTAGCTTGGTCATTCATTTACGTCCCGTAGTAGCAAATTTCGTATATGTGAAGGTAGCAAAACGATTCTCAGCGCACCATGAGCATGACCTGTAGTCACGACTAGTCATAACATAAAAATTATGACATGCATGTCATGATTTTTACGTTAGGGTCTGTCACTTATGTTCGCCATGCAGTCGTGTCATACCATATCAATTTTGCAAAATGTCATGTGAACGAAACCACCACAACAGGAGCAAGACCATGAAATGTAAATCATAACATTCATGACACACATGTCATGATTTTCATGTTATGACTAGCCTATTAGGCTTGTCTTACAGTCGTGTTACGCCATATCAATTTTGGTATTGATAGCTGTATCAAACGGCCAGGAGAGCTAGAAGTCATAGGCAACTAGATAGATAGATAGATAGATAGATAGATAGATAGATAGATAGATAGATAGATAGATAGATAGATAGATAGATAGATAGATAGATAGATAGATAGATAGATAGATAGATAGATAGATAGATAGATAGATAGATAGATAGATAGATAGATTTGCTCAACGTTGCCGAAGTTTGCTAAGAAATGCTTCGCATTTAATACTGTTCAGCCGCTTAGAGATAAAGAATTATCACCCAATTCCATTCGATATAGCATACTTACACCACTAAACTTTTACCGCCGGTCACGTTATCACATTTCAATGGATACTGGCTCATTGCGGTAGAGTAGCCAATGAAGAAGCAGATGAAACCGCCCGCAAAGGACATCACAAGAAAAATTACAGGCGAACCTATTTCTTTAAATCAGATGCTTCCCACCCGGATAAAAGGCTTGATTCCGAAGAAAAAAAGAGGCTCCGGAACCTTCCGACGCATCATTATGCTTTCCTCCATCCTATCGACCCACATATAAGAACTAAACTACCACCTCCCACACCAAATCCCTTGACACCTTGAAACTCTCTACCATCGTCTCCGGCTTAACAGTGCTTATGGAGGTACCCCTTCGGTCAGGCAGAAAGTCCATACTGAAATACCTGCGTCTCCGTAGAAACTGTAGAGTATATCTTGTTTGAGTGCCGAGCGTATGCCAATGAGTGTGTGCTCTCTGAACACTTCACGCATTTGGTAACCTAAAGAACTTTATCAGTTGGTTCTGTCTTAGGCATTTTGCCCCCCTTCACGCAACAGAGCATGCGATTAAACTTTTATTCACGTATTTGGACAATATCGGTTAGCTAGACAAACTGTATTGGCACCATAAAACTCGTAATAAGTTATTCTGTCCGCACACGGCCCCGCCCAAGAGACAAAAAAATGTCTGCATATTTACTTTGTTTTCTTTCCGTTTTAGTTTTTAAAATATTTTTTCTCTGTTTGTCTTTCAGTCCCCAATCCCCTTCCCCATGCAAACTAGCAAGCCAGCGATTTACATACGCCGGCTGAATTCTCTGCTGTTCAATAAAGAGCTCTCTCTCTCTCTCTACTCGCATACCATTGCCTGTGGGATACGCGTACGTGCCAGACATGGTTGGGTTTGAAGACGTACGCGACAGGATTTTCAAGTTATTCATGTCATGATAAGGATTCAATCACAAGAGCGGCCAGACGTGGGCAGAAGAATAGATAGATAGATAGATAGATAGATAGATAGATAGATAGATAGATAGATAGATAGATAGATAGATAGATAGATAGATAGATAGATAGATAGATAGATAGATAGATAGATAGATAGATAGATAGATAGATAGATAGATAGATAGATAGATAGATAGATAGATAGATAGATAGATAGATAGATAGATAGATAGATAGATAGATAGATAGATAGATAGATAGATAGATAGAAACCCTCAAAATACCTTTTGTTTCTTAATAACTGCTTCGCAATCATCATCCGGAGGTGGCAAGAACACCACAGGTAGCTGACATCTGTAACGTTGAATTCCCCGTTAAAGCCATAACATAACGGCTGCTTGGGCAAACGTGGTACGAAGACAGAAGCAGTACTGCAGAGCAATGTGAGGCGCAGAAAGTTACGCTTATTCATATCCTTGAGCAGTGCAAAGCCTGTTACGGGCGAAATGCTTTATAGGGATTGAAGTTCAAACAATACCATAGGCACAGAAGACCAACAAGCAAAGCAAGAAGAAGAGTATAGTAAGGAAATGCCTAGCGGCGTTTGTCATGTAACTACTGACGTTAACAGCAAGTCAGCCTTGCCCTGTTTTGCCTTCGTGGTCGTGGCAGTAGTAGTAGTAGTAGTAGTAGTAGTAGTAGTAGTAGTAGTAGTTGTTGTTGTTGTAGTAGTAGTACTAGGATTCACGCATGTCACGTGATCAAAGGTGGTGCATAAATAACAAAAGCGTCATGGTGGTGATGCGTTTGTTAATTATTATCATGACTATTGGGGAAGACTAACGGGTCAACAATCCAGGCTTTTCGTCATACCTTTAGTCAGACACACATTACCTGTAGCGAACCAAGGCATGACCTTATATTCACACTTTTTGAACTACATGGATTAGGATGCACATTGAACGAGACACATATAGAGTCAAATTAATTGTAAATATGGAAGACAAGGCAACTGGGTGCCGAAGGAATGACGCGCTCTGCATGGAAGAACGCATGCATTTCAAGTCTAGTGGTAGGCTAACGATACGACCTGATTTCGCAAGCTCGCACGCTTACAACTTCGCTATATGACTGTTGTAATGTCGTAAAAATGGGGAAACATTTCTTATAATAGCTAAGAATCCTATGAGAAGGAAATATATGTTAATAATCATAATATGTGAAGTTTAGCGTCCTAAAACCACCATACAATTATGAGAGACGCCGTAGTGGGGGACTCTGAAAATATCGACCACCTGGGGTTCCTTAACGTGCACCCAAATCTGAGCACACGGGCCTATAGCATTCTCACCTCTACTGGAAGTGCAACCGCTTCAGCCGTCAATCGATGCGGCGACATGCGGGTAAGCAGCTGAGTGAGTCAGCCACTAAACCACCGCGGCGGTGCTAGAGAATATGTGTTTTGCAAGCACTTTGTAGGTTCATCTAAAATACAATAAATTCAAGGTGGAAGTTGACAAAGCGTGGTGTGGTTAAGTAAGGGAAGAAATGTGAATGTAGCTGATAAATTTTCAGTTTCGCATCTTCTATACTCGTCACTTGGGATCCGGTTGGCGCTGGCACAACGGCTAGTCTAAGGAATAGGAGTGCTGTTCATTGCGGGTGTGCCACGTGGGCTATCCCTATCGCAAGTGTGCAGCCGGTTATTAAATGGGCCTTACGACACAATTTGAGCACGGATTTCTCAGTGATTCTTCTGGTGGTGTGGGATGTGCCGATGTAGTCGCGCAAGTTCCAATGCCAAAATCGAAGCTGTTATCATTTTTATTCACGGGAAAAATTACTTTGATATCAGACTACGGCGACACACATAAGCTATTTTTGTTATTGGAAGTGACTTCACGCCACGTGACGTGACGACAAAGAGCGTTCGCTTCTGATTGGCTTGACGCACCAAGTGACGTTCAATATTCATATGGAGGTAGCTAGGCTATACGAGTGAATGGCAAAACAGCAAAAAGA